CGAACCTGGGACCTTTCAGTCAACAGGCCAACACTCTATCCACTGAGCCAAACCGGCTAGGGCCTCCCATGCCATTCTTAAGTTTAATTTGTTATTCTGAAATATTTTATATTCATTTGACCCCCTTTTTTCTGGTTTGCATTCAATCGGATATGCTTTAAACCATTGTTTTATGGGTAAATATCTGCATTACTTTGGGTGTAGATGTAAAATGCTTTGTGAGCTGAGGAAAAAGTTGGAGGAGCTTGATCTTAGTGTTTTCAGGAATTAAACCCACCCACATTTGTTATACCAGATAGATTTGCTATTACTTCTGTTATTTCTGTATACTTATTATTTTTAGTTCTCATAGCTGTTTGCATTGTTTTCTGCTTTACCTGAGGTATAGATTAAGTAAGATGGGCTTCCACCTCCCCAATTTTTTCCGTGCTATCCTTTTTACTGTCTTTGCTAAAACCTAACTACCCTTCTTTTTCAGGTCTTCTGACACCCTATTTTCTTTCCCTTCCGCAATGCTTTGTACATGATTTGCCCCATTTTCCTACTTATCACCCATCAGATCTCAACTCAAAGTTTACTTCCCCCACCGAGTTGCATACATTGAATATATGGTCACGGCATACCATATACTTTTCTTCATAGAAATTAGCACAGTTGTAATTTTCATTAACTAGTGAAATTACACGTTTAATGTATTTCTCTCCAATTAGATTTTAAACTCCATAAAAATGAGATCTGTCTTTTTTCCTCACTTTCCTAGTGCTTAAGACAGTTCATATTGCAGAGTGAGCACTCAGTAAATAAAGAAATCATCTTCCCCATGTAGACAAGCCTGATTAACTCAGTGAACTTGGGCCAGCAGAGAGATAGAATTGCATGTAAATGTAACCTACCTGCACCCTAAAAGCAAATGTCACGAAGTAGAGATTACAGACATACCTCAGAAATCTTGCAGATTTGTTTCCTGACCACTACAATATAGAGAGGGTCTCAAAAAAGCAAGTCATAATCTTTGTGCTGGAGGAGGGTCTTGCCTACAATTTCTAAACATGTAACATCTGTGAAGCGCAATCAAGCAAAGGGCAGTAAAGTGAGGTATGCCTGTACCTACATTGGCATTCTCAATTTGATAAATTGGTAAGTAGTAAGTCTCGATGACAGATGAAGATTGTTTAATTGATTTTGTAAAATATTGAACTGTGAAGATAGCAAAGGGTATGTTTAAAATTTGAAGACAAAATAAGATAAAATAATGTACAAGTGAAAAAACTTAGGAAGCAAATGTAATTAAAGTTAAGAAGAATAAATAAACCAAAGTCAAGAAAATTTTAGACATGTTTTTTCTGGTGTGCATGTCACCACCATTTCACCCACTAGAATTTACTTTATCAATCACTGCTAGAGATATCCTGCAAAAGAACAGGCCTGCTAATGTCACATCTTTACAAAATCTTTTAAGGGCTCTCCATAGACCGCAACAGATAAAGCACTCCTTATTGTTGAGTATATTCATAAAATAACTATAATTTGTATCACTTGTTTTTTTAATCCTCATCCGAAGGTATTTTTCCATTGATTTTTAGAGAGAGTAGAAGAGAGAGGGAAAGAGAGAAACATCGATGTGGCTTCAATTGGTTGCCTCCTGCAGGCGCGGACCAGGGCCCTGGGCGGGGAGGAGTCTGCAACGGAGGCACGTGTCCTTGACCAGAATGAAACTGGGACCCTTTGGTCAGCTCTATCCACTGAGCCAAACTGGCGAGGGCTGTTATCATTTATTTTTTATGGAGTTTAGTGTTAGATATTTTGGGGGGAAATTGGCTTTCCTATTTAAGGTCAAGTAATTCACAGCTTGAAGCAATAAGCACGGACTCTAAAAGAATCTGACTCCGTCCAGGCATACTTCAGTGCCTAACATCCCACAGGCACTGGCGATATAATTCCGAGTTGGATTATTTCCATGCGCAACGTCTTAATTTCCAGGGGTTCAAATCATGCGTGACAAACTAATTTTCTTCATTATGGCAAAGGATACACTGAGTACCACTGAGAGACTATAGAGAGTAAATCAACTTAAGTGTGCAGAATAACGCCATGTGCGCTTTGTTTCCGATCGCAGTTTGGGGATAAACCTAATGATCTGTTTTCTTAATTCTTAAAGAAAATGTGTTTGAGGTTGTTAGGGGCTCTGGTTCAAGACAGTGACACAGGAAAATCCTAGGCTTGCTTCCTCCCGAGAACACCCTGAATCTGCGGCTACAGGCATACGGTTCAACTTTCCCCGAAAATAATACCTGAAACCTGAGCCACTCATATGCCTCAGGCCCACCTCATGCGCGGGGGGAGGGAGAAACCGGGACACCGCCTCCCCATCACCCCGCACCCCCACACCCCACGCAGCAACCGCCTCCGGAGCAAAGTCCACCCTGAGCTTCTTCCTGGGGCGCCTTCCCTGAACCCCACCCCGCTCGCGAGAGATGAGCCTCAAACACATCGAGCTTTGAAAAACAACTTCCGCCAGACGACAGGGACTGAGGACCGCTCCCTCCGCATGGACTCACCTGTCCCCGCGCAGAGGACGCCGATCCAGAGGCCCCCGGGCTTCATGGGAAGGAGGTGAGCGCGACCCTTAGCCAAGCAGAACGCATCAGCCCGGAGGCAGACAGCAAACTCAGCACCAACTGGGGGGCTGCTGAGTGGTGAACCCCATCTTCGGCTCTCCCTCTGCCTCCCTCGTGCTTACAGGCACCTCGTTTTCTGCGTTTAACAATAGGCTTTTGTGTTCCGCTTCCTGCGGGAGCCAGTTACTCGCCCTTCGCCGGAGGCCTCCGAGCCGCGGGCGCCATCTTGGTGCTCGGGCCGTGGGCACCCGCCTCGGGAAAGGCGAGGCTTTCCTTTTTCCTGTCTTTTCCCTGGCAGGTGCGCCCTAACACTCACCCTCTGTCGAGTTCCAGAGCGCCAGTATGTCCGGGAGGGGGGCCTCTAGCCTTTGCACCTGCCTGTACCCCGTGTTTTTGGTTGGTTGGCTGCTGCGTTGCCGTTGGGGGGAGGCCCCTGGATCACCTGCTGCGGAAGCCGAGAGGCTCCGTCCTGGTCTCGCGAGACTGTGACCCCGCGAGTTCCTGGCCCGCTGCCGCCTCCACAGCCTTGCACAGACCGCGGATCGGCGCAAGTCCCTAGTCTTGCCAAGAAGACCAATTTTGCCCTAACCGGTTTGGCTCAGTGGATAGAGCGTATGCCTGCGGACTGAAGGGTCCCAGGTTCGATTCTGGTCAAGGGCATGTACCTTGGTTGCGGGCACATCCCCAGTGGGGCGTGTGCAGGAGGCAGCTGATCAATGTTTCTCGCTAATCGATGTTTCTAACTCTCTATCCCTCTCCCTTCTTCTCTGTAAAAAATCAATAAAGTATTTTTTTAAAAAAGAAGAAGACCCATTTTGCTGTCCTAGAGCCGGAGGCTGTGAAGAGCTCTCAGGAATAAGACCGAGAATGCAGTCGCTGAGCTAGCCCTCTGCCTCGTCCGGCCTCGCCTATGTGTCTCGGGCAGCGACTCAGACCCTGCCTGGTGCCCCCATTTTGCAGCTGCTGCCAGGGCACCCCTCTCCACTGCCTGGCTCTGGCGGCCAGTGGGCTTAGGCCTCCTGGTCTCACAGCACCACCACCAAGGGGGAGAGCTCCGAAAAGGCTCCCATTCCAACCCACCAGAGCACCGCTAGAGGCAACGCACCCAGGGAAAGCCAGGCCTATCAGCTTATCCTTCTAGCGGCACCGGAGGGGCAGGCATCTAAGGACATACATCTCAGGACTGACTCTCATCCTCTCCAGAGACTTTGAAGACCTGGCACCATCTTGGCACTCTCCTCCAGCCACCTCCAAAATGTTATTTATAGTTACTGTAACTATAGTGAATACTGCATGAAACTAATATAATACTGTCAACTGTAATTGAAAATAAAATAAAAAATAAAAAAAACGCCCTGACCGGTTTGGCTCAGTGGATAGAGCATCGTCCTGCGGGCTGAAGGGTCCCGGGTTCGATTAAGGCCAAGGGCATGTACCTTGGTTGCGGGCACATCCCCAGTCAGGGGTATGCAAGAGGCAGCTGATTGATGTTTCTCTCTCATTGATGTTTCTAACTCTCCCCTTCCCTTCCTCTCTGTGAAAAATCAATAAAAAAAGAAAAGAAAAGAAAAAAACATTAAAAAAAATAAGAATACTCTATTGTATATTTGAAAGTAGCTAGAAGAGTGGCTCTTGAAAGTTCCCGTCACAAGAAAGAAATTTTAACTGTATGTGGTGATGAATGTTAAACTGGACTTATTGTGGCAATCGTTTTGCAACGTATACAAATATTGAATCACTGCATTGTACACTTAAACTGAAAAAAATGTCAATTATGCCTCAATTAAAAAAAATGTTTTTAAGTAGTTTGTTTGAGCTGCACACTAGTTACTGAGGGTAGCGATGATCATACACACTCTGGTTGGTGAGCCTCAAGCAAGGATGAGCACTTTGCAGATTTTCAGTAGGCCCTTCTTTTCATTTTTGCTCCAGGAAGAGTGCCTAGTCATTTTGATATATACTGATGGAAGTTCTCGGCAGACCTCTAATGATGGCCTAAATGAAAATATCTAATTCATCTTCTGAAGCAAATTTCCATCAAGAGAATGGAGAGAAAATCCTTACTCACCCAATACCTAAACTTTCGGTTTTACAGCAGACAGTAAGACTAATATAACTAATATAACTACAGTATTAAAATAATCCTTGACCAGAAAGCCAAGGTAGCAATATATCATTCTTCTTCAGAGTTTAGGAAATAGAAAGCCCAATTTTATACCACAAAAATATTTGATATTTCATTCTTCCATTAGTTCTAAATTAACATGAAAAAAACTTGCCAATGATCCATAGAAAATTTATCTTCCAGGTAATGAAAGCCAAATAAAATAAGCAACTACAAATAATACAAACAACACATTTATTTAGAAAAATAAACTGAAAATGCTGTTTGTCTGGTACATTATCCCATGAAGCATAGATAAATGGCTATAAAAAACTGTTGTTATATGTCAAATACAAATTACAAATGATTTTTTTAATTCAGAGAACAAATAGATGTTCAACACAAAAGTTTAGTGTACAGTTCACTGTATTTGACTTCTTGGCTGTTAATGATATAAAATGATCTTCATTAAAAAAATTTGATCCCTTTTTCATTCATTTGACCACACTGATGCTTTTTTGTTATTATTCTATAGTTATTATTTTAATCTGAGACAAACCTTTTTTTTTTAGATAACTGATTTTTATAGAAGAGAAATCAATGTCTGCAGAATTCTTAAGTGTTTCCTTTTTGGACTCCTGCAAGAAACTGCTTGTTGTGGTCTCAAAACTCATGGGACCATCTGTGCAAATAACAGCACACATCATTACCCTGAATGGAAGTGACAGTGCAAATATTAGAAGTGCATTGAGAAATAATCAGTAAGACTGACTTCCCCCCTCTCTCAAACAATATGGAGTGAAGGACTGAATGCAGAAACATTTCAAGCAATTGACAATAATGCTGTTATTCCATTATGGCTTTAAGGGTATACACAAGATGGCAAACATCCTCTCTGCAAACAGCAACATTCTGTCCTAATACTACTGTTCATTGCTGCAATGCTCCTCTGTTTGTTCAGTTTATTTTTGTCTACATATTTATTTTGAAATGCTGAGTAATTCTGACTAGAGATATTTCCTATCTCTATTTTACCTTCCCAAATGATAAATCAATTGATAATAATTTACTAGCTTAACTGCCGAATATACATTTTCATGGGTTCACATCTGGGAATATTTATTTTCATGGTGAAGGAAGATGGGTTTTGTTTGGTTTCTGTTTTTTGTTGGCTGAATTATTTAGTCCTTTTCATATATATATTTTTTAAATCTTCTTGATAATTTCTGAGTGAAGAGATTTAAGGCTGTGGCTTTTTTTCACCCCTAGGGCTCTGCTCATGGCTGTCAGACTAGAGGCAGATGATTTTATGCAGACCATATCAGTAATCACTTGTGCTCCAAAGTTGAGGGAATTTGCTGCTCTGAGATGGACAAGTTCCTGGTTATTTCAAAATTACATCTGGCCTCAAGAAGTCATAATGATGAATCTGAAGTGAGAAAAATGAGCTGACATGCCTCCAAATAAAGATTTCCTTCCAATCTGAAGGAGCTGTCAGAAGAAAACAAAAGACAAAAGATCAGTTTAATAGTAAGTACAGTTTAACAAAAACACATAAAATGTATTAAGAATGAGGCAATCATTTGTTAAAGCCTCATTTAAAATTACTTGAATTATCAAGAATTTCATTTTAAATGTCTAAACATATTGAAACATATACTCCCCTTAAATTTCATATATAAAAATAATGTGACAAGTCAGTCATCAAAATTTAGTAGTAGCATGCGTATATTTCAATTAAAAGATCTGTCTCTTTCATTAATCTCTTCCCATCTGCCCCATCCCAGAGATGTCAGTTTGTTCCATGCATTGATGCCTCTGTTTTGTTTGTCAGTTTATGTTCATTAAATTCTACATGTAAGTGAGATCATGTGATATTTGTCTTTCTCTGACTGGCTTATTTCACTCAGCATAAAATTCTCCAGGTGTATCCATGTTGTCTCAAAGGGTAAGAAATCCTTCTTTAACAGATGGACACAGACAGTAGTGTGGTGAAGGCCTTGGGTGGGGCAGGGGCTGGGAGGAGGAAGCTAAGGGAGGGGGAGGGAATTGGAGGACATCTGTAATACTGTTAACAATAAAATTAGTAACTGAATAAGAATTAATGTTCAAAATCTATCTCTGACAGTTTTTAAAACTTCAGGTAAATTTGTCCACCTGTAAATGTACTAAGTTCTCAAAGACTATAGAGCCTGAAAATATAAGAATATCTTGAGATATTTATATCTTGGTATGTTCTTTGATATACATATATATCACTATTAAAATAGTTAATAAATCATTTTTAAGGTAGAGAGACTTCATTTAAAACAGCAAAAAAGCATTTAAAAACCACGTTGCATAATGTTCTCTTTCACTGCATTCTATATAGTCTAAATGTATTATCAAACTGCCAAAAGGATATTCTTTTCCTTGATGCAGCAGAGCTGCCAAAGAACTAATCTGCCTTCATGAATACCTGCAATAATTAGCACCTTAAAATAAATTCTATCCATATTCCTATCCATATCCTAATTAATACATTTTTTGGAAAATAATAAGAAATAAAACCTAACCATAATCCTCACTCTGCCCACCCAACATCAAATATGCTTAGCACCACTTAATGTGCAGTGTGTCTATGGTCTTCTCTTTAAGTTATGATGTAAAAGATAATATGTATGCAATGACTTACTAAAATAGGTCCAGAAAGTTATTAAAATGAACCTGGTACCATAATTAATTGATTAGTAAATTATTAGAAAAGTCAGAGACAGAGAGTAGTGGCATTAAGTGCATTTTAATCCCTTAAGGCCCATCTGAGAACCCCTGCTTTAACACTTTCATTTGGAGGTATGTAACTTCCAAATGCATTGTGTGCTTTCTTCAATAAAGAGACACAAACATACACATAGGTGACACAATAAAAACAAACTGTGCAGCTGCTGGACAAATGGTATATTACCAGATCATCACTAGCATATGTCAAGTTGCACATTCAGTCTTTTATGAAATTCATAAATAAAGAATTGTTCTCTCTTTGTGGTTTTAATAAGAGTTCAAGAATGGTTCAGAGTCTTGTAAATGTTATTTTAATAATCCCTTTAAATTTTATCTGTTGCTGTTACCTCTTGAAATATGATTTAATTAGATTGCTAATCCCACTCATTCAGGAAATGCCAAGAGGTATTCTGTAGGGGAAATGTTGCTTCTTACAGTGTAAATTTTCTCCCTTATTTTTGCTAATATCATGGCAGAATTTTTCTTATCCCTTTTGAGGCAGTTGTTGACTGAGTTTTTCATCCTAACAATCCTGTCCTATAGTATTTAACTTAAAAAAGTAAAACTGTTAACAGATTCTTGTTTGATTTTAAAAAAAAGGAGTTTTGTACATTTTACATCTATTTAAGATAAGAGCTAAAATTATTTATAAATATTTTCCTGTTCCAGTAATTTTTTTAGGTATCTCATAGAAGCAGTTATTTGCCTCACAGCCTTCAGCGATCAAACATTAAAAGCAGAGAATAAAATCTTCTAATCAGGAGATGTCTATATTGGCAGTTTGAATTCCAACATTGGGTGTTAATGAAATACATTTAAGTCTTACTTAGTTTTGAAAATTTTTTACAGATATCCGAGCCTCTCCCTGCATGGTATCAGATATCCCATTCACCATAACCTCAGGCTAAATATTTTTTTTCCCACTAAAGAAAAGCCCCAAATAATTTTTCATGTATAATTTGCTAACTTAAAAATTCATGAACTTCATTATATATTGTTTATATTTTTACCTCAAATATGGAGAAATGTAATACACCATCATCCCTATACAAGTTAAATAAATGTACTCAGCATTGCAATAATGAAACATAAATCACCAAGATTCTGCATTATCAACAATGAGTTGAAGTGCTCCGGGAATGCTCTCTGACTTATTCTTCAGATGAGTAGTTAATTACTTCATTCTATTTCAAAGGCCTTTGTTTAAAACTAATTAAAGTTTTCTTCACTTTTTGAATGGAATAGGTCATAGTTTTCAAGCACTGCAAGGGTCATTCTCTAATTTTGGTAAATTTTTCCAGACACAAATGTGATATACAAAATATGAATGATACCAGGTAATTTTTAGGCTTTGACTCATTAAATGTCAAGTCAGTTCATTTAGGTAAGTAGCATCTTTTTTTTTTTTTCCAAACTTGTCTTCCTCACCTTAAGAAGGAAGGTGCTATTGGAGCCTTTTATTGCAGTAACATAGTCAAAAACACAAGAGGCCCAAGCCATGGATTAAAAACTCGAGTTTTTCACAGCACAGGTGAGAGTGAAGTCCTGTGATTCTCCCACAATTCAGATTCCAGCATCGGGTGTAGACACTAAGCTGCACCCCTGAAAGGCATGGCCTTTGGACCATCACCTGATGAAGGGTCCTTTGACCAAGTCCATGGGCTGAGGCTGCCTCTCCACTGCCTCCCATTAACAAAGTGAACCAGGTATGTGCGCGATGCACTAGGAAGCCCAAGGTCTCTTCTGTGTGGCTCTCGGTTCGGTCCTCTCTCCAGTTCTGTCCTCAGGTTTAGGGGATACTTTTTTCATGTAAACAGTCTAGCTCTGGGCTGAGTGGCTGCTTGGGCACCAGGCCGAAGACATCACAGGGACCTAGAGACGCAGTGGGGAAGTAGACCCTGAGACAGCGTGGCGGTGAGCAATGGCAGGGCATAGCCTGCAGAGAAGGTGCCCGGGGAGGAAGGCAGTGGCGGTGGTGGCTGCATGCAGTCCAGGTAAGTGGAGAGGTCGCAGTGCTTGAAGCTGGCACCCTCCAACATGTCCTTGGTGTTGGGTTCGAGCGCCCAGTAGTTGTCCTTGTCTGTGAGGTTGTGGCAGATGCTGTTCTGCCATTTTGGGGGGTTGTCGTGGTAGAAGGGTACTTGCTAGGTGTTGACCTTGTCCGTGTGGCCCAACATGAGGCTGAGCCCTGGCGCCTGGGTGATGGCCATGGCGATGAGAGCGGGTGGCTTTCAGCCTCCTAGAGCTGTAAGTACAGTAAAACCTCGATATAACGGACTAATTTGGGTGAGGGGGTGTCCCTTAAAGCCAAAATTCCATTCTATAATAAAGTAGGTTTTCTAAAGCATGTTAAAAAATTGACATATTAGTTAACTTGTTTTTACTTATGTAGATACATCTGTGCAATTAAAATTAAGTATGTATGGAAAGTTAATTTCACCAAAAGTTTTCTATGTGTATTGACACCATTGTAACTAACCCAATTATTAATTAACAGAAAAGGAGCAAAGGGAAGGCCAGATAATATAGGCATGCCATTTGTACAGCTTTGCCAGAAAACTGCAGTTTAACACTCTCCAAGTCTGTTCCCCAGAGATCCTGGGGGAAGGGACTAGACAAAGAAAGAATAGACGCATGACCAGTAAGGTCTAAACGACTCAGAGAGGGTGCTTGTTTATTAGTCATACCTGGGAACAGGGCATTGGCCAGGATGGAGTGCCCATTCAATCTGCAAAGATTCAAAATCTGAGACACATAAGCTCCTGAACAAAGGAAGTCCCCTCTCTTGGCTCTCTTGCTGCAGGAGGCATGCTCCCCTGCATTCGCCCACATGGCTCATGGCCACGTGGACCCCACACAATGGACTGACGGATTACAATTGGCCTGATGCTCTGCCAGACTGAGCTCCACCGTGGAAGGGAAACTCTGGACACTGGCTTTGCTTTTAACTCTGCTGAATCCCCAGCAGCACATTTTCAGGACTGGTTTAAGGAAAATGGGACCTTGGAAATGCAGGGATATAACTCCACTCATTCTACTGTCAAGTCTTAGAAAATCCTTTTTCGCAAGATATTGTAAGAACCCCACACCCATTAACAATGGAGAAATTCCAACTGTGCAATTCTCCAATAACAATGTTATTGTAATTTTAAATGTATACTGAATAGGACTAGTAAATGCATGCATTTACCAGTCACCAAATGCACACAGCTGGGGCATGGCTTAGCACACATCAGAACATCGGGACCACACGTGTTAAAACTGTTGCAGAAAGTCACGCCACATGACAAAAGAACTGATTACCATTTGCCATGCAGTGTGTCATGTGCTAATCATTCACCAAACATTATTTACGAGTGGTGACTCTTGGAATTAAATATGTAGACTATAGTTGTAAATATGTAATATTTATTTATGTCGAGGAAATTACTACAGTTTTTTTCCAACTTATGGCTATTCACTAAAATTTGTTAAAAATAACAGTGAGTTAATAACAAAAAAAACCCTATTAATTTAATTATAAGCAAATCTTGGTTAAAATTCTCTTAAAATTAACAGGGCATTAATTTTCACATGTGACCCATAGAAATTTTGTCTGTTAAGTCTGAAGTCCATTAAATTGAGGTCCACAAAATCAAGGGTTTACTGTAGCATCTTAAGTGACTAAGAACATTTCTTCACAGATAGGGCAGCATGATTTTAAAATGTCAAGACAGCAAGCAAAGCTAAGG